TGAGCTTGTACAGGATATGCACCATGAAATCAGGAAAGGCTAATATCTCACTGCACATTTTATCAAACATCTCTGGTCTGATAAGTCTTTTTTTAGCCAACCTGAGCATTTAGAGAGTGGCACATTTCTTTTTGGATGTTAGTAGTTTAATGCATTATATAATCAGTCTCCTGATGCCACAGAGAGCCTCAAGTTTTTTTAAAATGTATTCTGCTCACAACTGCACCAGATCACTTTCATGCTTAAACAAAAAAGACAGAAGAACCCATCAGAATTTGAGACATTACATCTATACATGAAAATATATGCAAACATTTAATACCAAAACGTTTAAATAAATTGCACTGCATGCTACACCAAAGTCTGATGCATACACTATGAGTAGCAAAAAAATCAGAGTGGAAGCACTTTATTTGGACCCAGCTTTTTGCTGTTGTCCCCCATGAACAGGGTCAAGTCTAGGGTGGTTTTTGCAAAATGTCAGTTGGATCAAAGATAAAGTCAGAGTAAATAAAATTTGATGTGGAAACGGACACTGACACTAAAGGGGTGCCCGAGAACCAAATGTGTGCAGGTTCTGTTCCATGTTTGGCCCATTATCGGCCAGGTGCTAGGTGTCACTGTCTAAACTTATTAATTATTGCTGGCTTCCTGTGTCAGAAAATGAACAAAAAAAAAAAATATTTCCAGATAATCTCTTTGAGAACCAGCACACAGCAGAGGTGAAGCGCTGATGATCCTGATGTTGTTTATGCCATCAAAATGTCAGATGCCATGGTTTGTGGCTTCTTTAGAGAAAGCACAAATCAGATTATGACTGAACTGGTGCAAAGTGGAGAGACAAAGGAGACAAAATGCCAGACAATAAAAACACAGTGAGAGTGACATGTGAACGCAGGTTTCTGTCAATCAGACTACCGTCAAATCCAGTTATGACGTTCACATCCAAAATCTGGTTAAAAGTAACAGTGAGATTAGACTTCTCCAGATGTTTCCATCTGTACAGCACTGCACTCGGTACCAGACAATGTTCACTGTCTAATATTCAGACACGTGAACACAAAGCCTACTTCATTATTATGACTTAGGTCAAAAATCTCCACCCACACTCCTCCACACACACACCGCCCTGCAGTGCCGGTTGGTTGCTGCCGCACCCACCCAGACCCAGAAACTCTCCGAACACATCTCTGAAGGGGTCTCCTCCAACCTGTCTGCTCTCCTCCACGCGGACCTCCCTCTTTGTCTCTCCTCCTCGAGTTTTACTGATTTCCGTCCTCTCGGTGCGAGTGTAGGTGTGACTGCTGCGAGTGAATGTCCGGGTTAGGCGCTCCTGAGCTGAAACCATCTGAAACCAGTTCCCTACAAGCAGCAGGAGAGGCAGGGGGGATGACAGGAAGGAAACAGGGGACAAAAAGGAGGTGGTGAAGAGGAAGAAGCAGAGAGGACACAGAGGAGGAGGAGGAGACAGTGTCACTACAGCTCACCTGGTATTTTGAGGTTGAGGTCACAGGTGCTGCCCACAGTAGCGATGGAGGGAGCCTGACGTTTCCTGGTGATGCTCTCCTTTATCTGGCCCTCTCCAAACACCCTGACTGTGAACGGGCTTCCTGTTGGGACAGAAACACGACAGTGATGAAGGGAAATCGATTTACTTTTTACAATCCACTACCATAATTTCCGGACTATTGAGCGCACCTGAATATAAGCCGCACCCACTAAATTTAAAAAGAACAACTTTTTGTACATATATAGGCCGCACCTGTCTATAAGCTGCAGGTGTAGATGGAAAGATTTTTGGATTGAGTCAGTTCTTCACGCTGCCATCTCCAGCGTCTCACCATCGATTCATTGATGCCAAGCTTACGTGCAGCAGCTCTATTTCCTTCTTTCCAGATCGATCGCCTTTAACTTGAAAGCTGCATCATATTCATTTCTTCGTGTGTTTTCCATGATGAGGGTGTGTGCATGAAGCGCAAAATGACTGAGCTGAAGAATTTAGTGTGAGTGCATTTGATTTAATTCGAACAGTTTCATTGGTCCACTGTGACCTGTTCGGTAATTTCATTGGTCTGATGTGACGAGGCTAAAAGTATTGGCGGCATGAAGCTCGTTAGCCCGTAAAAATCCATAAATTAGCCGCATCATTGTTTAAGCTGCAGGGTTCAAAGCATGTGAAAAGTGTAGCGGCTTATAGTCCGGAAATTACGGTAATATAATAATAATTTTGAACTATGAGACAAGACAAAACCGAACAAAGTACATGATGGACTGCAGGCAAACTTCAGATATTGTGCTGAGGTGCACACCAACGTATACAGCGAATAAAAATATTATAAACAACACAATAAACTTTAATGTGTGTGCCTTTGTGTTAAGAGGTGTTTGAAGGTTTTGGCCAAATATAGTAAATCAATCAAATTTTATTTGTATAGTGCCAAATCACAACAAAAGTCATCTCAGGACACTCTACAAAGTCAGGTGTAGACTTTACTATTATCACTATTATTACAGAGGGAAAACCCAACAAATCCCCTTTGAGCAAACAAATGTTACTTATGTTATGTTAGTTATCTAATGAAGTAGATAATAGTAGCGTTTACCTTCCCCTTCCTTTTTGATCACTGAGATTTTTACTAGATTTAGATTACAGGTCATATTCTGTGCACAATTATGTTCTGGAAGTGTAAAATTAAGTAAAAATAAATAATAATGAAAATGATTGTGGGTATTTTCGCTATTTTCTGAGATCAGTTAGGTGACAAATACATCGATCAGCCATAACATTATGAGCACCAGCAGGTGAAGTGAATAACGCTATCTGTTACAGTGGTGCCTGTCAGTGTGGGGGTATATTAGGCAGCAAGTGAACATTCAGTCCTCAAAGTTGATGTGTTGGAAGCTGGAAAAATGGGCAAGTGTAAGGATCTGAGTGACGCCCACGGCTCACTGATGATGAGGTTGACCTACTGTAGATTAAACTTTTAACTTCCATTTGTACTTTTCAAAAGATTAAAATTTATTTCAATCTTTCTTAAAATGGTTGAAAATGAGAAACACTGTACATTGGTCTCTATGAAGAGAAAGAGTCAGGGGCTGTAGTGGTGATATCACACCTAGAGCGGTGAGGCTGTTGGATTTGTCTAAAGCATTCTCTCTAACTCGTCCTCACAACCACAGTTTTCACTCCATAAGTTTTTCACTGAATTGTAGACACATCTGTGCAGTAGAACTATGGAACCAAATGGATTCACAGAAGATGCACAGTGAGCTGCAGAGTGACATGAGTGCCAACTGACTGCCACATGGACTCCCATGTAAACAGTGTTAGGGAGGTGGTCATAATGTTATGGCTGATCGGTGTAAACCTGCTGCAAGTTTCAAGTGTCTTTAAGTGGAGTTTTTTGGAAATGAATGTCAGTCAGTAGCTGGCTGGACAGGGCAGGAGTGTGCACCTGGTACATGTTGGTCAGCAAACTTGATGTTGATGATGTAGTTTCCAGGTTCAGTTGGACAGTAGGTGACTTTACATGTCCCGTCCTCCACATCCTCACAGTTGATGTCCACTTTACTGGGACCCTCGATGGACAGGCCCAGACCTCCATAACCTGGGAGCAGAGAAGAAGAAATTCAAGTCTGCACAGAAACACCCTGTGCTCCAGTGGATGAAAAATGAAACATGATTTTTAATGACAACTTTATTTTATACTGAACCTCAAAAGTTGGAAACTGCAATTTGATGATAAAGTCATCATCCACTGATGAAGGCCCTGAGATGTGACTGAAATCTCTGGGAAAATTTCAGTAAGTGAACCTCATGCTACTAGCCCTTCTTATTTACTATAACTACATGATGAGTTGGTAAAACATTTGATTTGGATTTTTACAGAATACTGTAAAATCAACACAGATATGTAGTTGGATTTACAACCCTCTCATACTGGTCATGCAAAACACCTGGGTAGGTGGGGGCATTTAGCGTTATTGAAATATTTTGGCCATTTGCCGTTGTTACAACTGGAATAAATGCATATAAAGTATGTTATTACAAAAAGCATAAAATCTGTATAATAACTCTAGTTATTGTAATTTTAGGTGGATGCTTCTGTATATTTGAATGTTATAAAATCTAAATAAAAGAGACAAAACTTGCCAGTTTCCCTGCTGATGTTATCAGAAAAACTTCACCTTCACTTTTCAGAAACTGGAGTCTTCCTTGCATTAAACCATGAAACAAGCTGCTGATACAAATACAGGTGTAACTCTCACCTGCGTTCCTGGTGTCCACGATGAACTCAGCCACTTTGAAGGTGTGTCCCTCCACCAGCCCCTGGCCATAGACCTTCACCTTACTGGCGTCTCCAATCTCCGACTGACCCACCATGATCTTAAACGGGCTGTTGGTCACATGTTTCCCGCTCTTCTTCACGCTCACCACGTGTTCACCCACCTCCTTTGGCGTGAAGGAGATACCTGCAGGTAGGAAAAACAGAACGGGGAATGTGAACCAGAACTTGTTTAGTCCTCTTGTTTGTCTGGTAGATCAGTTTTACGAGTCTCAAGTCAAATCCACATCCTGCATTTTGCTTGTCAGCTCCTCCAAACATCTAAACAGTGTTACTGAGTACAATACTGGCTAATGTTACTGCTAGCCACTTATCAGACACACAACTATTGTTAGTCATAGCTGAGTGTTTATTGTAGAGTGTTTATTGTAGGCTAGCATGTCTTACGTGCATCTTGGATAATTACCAATTTGCAGTTTCAGAGCTGAATGCTTTACATATTGTTCTTCATTTTCTGGGGACCACAGCAGAGTCTCTGTGTCCAAATGTGATCATCCCGGGTACAGTATCATCGTTTGTCTCTTTTTTTATATCACGTCAGATATTTGAAAATTGTTATAATATCAGCACAAAACAATGAAAGAGGAATCTGGTGGAACCATTAAATCACTGGTTATTAATGAGGTTGTTTTTGTGCTTGAACAAAGTTTTGCACGAAGGACATCTCCTAAACAATGGAGCTGTCAGTTTCAAACTGAGCAGAAAGCAGCTTTGTCTCCATCCGGCGTGTGGCCTACCACAGAGATAAAGCCTGAGACATTTCAGACAGTGAAAACGGACCAATGTGTCGGTTGGGCAGCCTCTTCAGCAAACATGGCTCCTCCTTTCCAGAAGGCGCTCTGATGGTTGCCATCAAACTGCTCAGATCCGTCTCTGTGATCTTTAAAGAAACATCTGTCGCTGTGCCAACGTTGAGCTGTGATGTCCTCATAGAGTCGTCACCTAGAGTTCGATCACACAAAGTAGAGACTCCCTCAGTGGGTCAGGTTTTCACATAATGCCTTGATTCAATTACAAAAGGATAGCTCTGGTTTGTCATGAAAAACAAGACAAAAGGCAGTGTCAGATACAGCAGCACTGGTTACATGAAACTTGTAATTAAGATGAATCACCAAAATGTCTGAAGGGACACAAGAGCTGCAGCTGCACTAGCGAATCAGAGGCTCCGGCTCCAGACAAATGAACATTTGCTCAGACACATGCAGCGAACTTCAGTACCAGTGATCTTGGCGATGAAGGGGCTGCCGGGGATGTGCTTGTCATCAAACTTGACAATGATGTTGTAGTCTCCAGGTGCAGTGGGCAGGTAGGACACGGTGCACGTCCCATCCTTGTTGTCTTTACAGCTGATCTCTGCTTTAGATGGACCTTCAACAGCCAGAGACAGACCGCCTGCACACGGACAAAGAACACACACAGCTGCCGGCTTTTTATTCTGTTGGTGTTCTTTCTTTGCCATTCATTTCTTTACCTATTCTTACTAACTGCTTGTTTGATCCCATGTACTGTGAGGCACAATTATATTTATTATTTATTTACTAATAATATTTTGGACAACTTGCTTTTTGATTCCAAAACACTGCCAATAAATCTCTATGAGATGAAAGTGAATTGTGAAAGACTAATAATTCTGGGGCAGCACGGTGGCACAGTGGTTAGCGCCGTTGCCTCACAGCGAGAAGGTTCTGGGTTCGGGCCCCACCTGGGACCTTTCTGTGTGAAGTTTGCATGTTCTCCCCGTGCTTGTGTGGGTTCTCTCCGGGTACTCCGGCTTCCTCCCACTGACCAAAGACATGCAGCTTAGGTTGATTGGTGTCTCTAAATTGCCCATAGGAGTGAGTGAGTGTGAGTGTGAGTGTGTGTGTGTGGTTGTTCGTCTATGTGTTAGCCCTGCGATGGATTGGCGACCTGTTCAGGGTGTTGCCCGATTGGCAGCCGGGATTGGCTCCGGCCCCACCCGTGACCCCATTCAGGGACTAAGCGGTAGAAAATGAATGAATGAATAATAATTCTGTTATATAGGCTGTGACAGTGTTATAGCGTTGACACCTTCTCCGGCGTCTTTAGTGACAATGGTGAAGGTAGCCGGTTTGTTCACGGTGCCGTGGCTCAGACCAGGACCGTACGCTGTCACATGGCCACTGTTAATGGCATCCACATAGAACTGGAGTGGGCTTCCTGGAATAAAGAAGAAAATCTGCATGAGTGCAATGTTTCCCAAAGCCATTAGAGTGCAAATATCTCTAACTCAGTTTGCAGAATATGAAATGCTGGCATAGTTAGACAAGGTTAGAGCAGTGTCAGATCAAAGCCGCAGTAAAGCTGGTGATGCCCCACTGTTTCCTTCAAAAGGCGGTGAGTTTATCCATCATGCTGGAGAGGAGCATAGGAAGTAAACCAAACATAAAATAAATACATGTTAGGGATTTTGGGGGGGTTACCTGGGATGTGGCTGCCATCGTACTTGATGTCCATCTCGTGCAGACCTCGTTCACTCGGTGAGTACTTCACAGTAACCGTGCCGTCCTTGTTGTCAGTGATGTGAGGACAGGCGGTGCAATCAGATGGCATTCGCACCTCACCTGGAGAGCAAATCACTGTCTTAACTCATCATGGCTCCCACTGTGCTGTGGTCCTGCTGGCAACATTTGGTTTTTCAAGCCCTAAACATGTTATTTGTCCCTGTGTTTATGCAATATTTTAAATCCTAGGGTTAGGATTAGGGATCCAACCCTACAATGAACGCTGCTTACAGAGGAAGAAGCACTGGACATGCAGCTCAGGTTGACTGGTGACTCTAAATTGCCCATAGGAGCGAGTGTGGGTGTGTGTGGCTGTCTTTAAGTGTCAGCCCTGTGACAGACTGGAGACCTGTCCAGAGTGGACCCCACCTCTTGCCCAGTGTCAGCTGGGATTGGCTCCAGTCCCCCCCACAACCCTGTTCTTTATAAGCGGTGTAGATAATGGATGGATGGATGCAGTTAAGATAAAAAAGTGAAACTATGGCTTCAAATTTTCTGTTGTAGCACAAAATGTTAAGCATGTGAACAGCTGGCTTTTATTTGTGCCTAATTTAAAACCATGTGGAGAAAACAGCAATGGAAACAGTTTTTTAATGTGACGAGCTCCGTGCTCTCAGACCTGCTGCTGCGTTCAACCATGAGCACATATTAACAGGAGATATTCAACACGGCTGCTGACGCCAACAGTCAACGTTAGCTGCCAGAGATTAGCAGTGAGATAAACAAGGCCTGCTCTTACCTGTGATCTCTCCTTTCTGCACTGTGAAGGGAATAACCAGACTGAAGGGGCGGAGCGCGGGCTCCATCCCATTCACAGGGCTGATGGGTTCATCTGTGGCCTAAACCAGAGCAAGAGGGGAGGGGTGTTAGCATCGCCATAGTGGGAACTCTGGGAAATCAGGCCAAAACAGGAAGGAGGAGGAGGAAGCAGAGAAGGACTGCAGAGACCAGTCTGTGGCGAGCTAGACCAGTTTGTTCTGAGACTGAAACCAGTTCCACAAATGGTAACTGTTCAGTAAAGTCAGCTGGTGCATAAACATGTTTAATACAGTACACAGTCCTTCAAAAACAAAGAAAACAATGAATCATAAAATAAAAAGGATTACTAAATACAAAGCAGCAAATAAAGAAGCAGCAGATCAAACATGCAGCACCAAGCTGGGATGGTATCAACTTTCTGAAAAGCTCTGATACAACGGCAACTGCTGCATGAAGAGCAGGAGCTGCAGATAAACAACAGTATGAAGCCATGTACCCATTGGGGGGAGAAGCCCACATAGGGAGAGTAGGGCTGCTGTAACTGAAGCTTGTCACATGGCTCCTCTATTATTGGGACGGTGTCGCTTGCCTGACAGGGAACAAGGTACAACCTTTAGGGAACACACAAAAACACACACAGCTCCATGCACAAACCAACACTACAGTCTGTTGTTTGTCTGTTGTTTGCAAGGAGAAACCGCAGCCTGTGACTCTCAGCGCTGAATGTACCACTGACGGAGAACAGTTCCATAAGAACGCCCTCTGGGGGAGACGGTAACGTCATCAGACTACACGGGAACCCCTCAACACCCTCAGGATGTTAAGTGGCGCACCACAGCCCTCATAGTTACACATTCATGTGAATGTTAATGATGAGTTTAATGTTATATTAAATACCTTAATCATATCATTAATGGTGATTACATGAACTTTAGCATTTTAAGCTAAGAAAATAAGGAATTCAGTTTCCTTTGTTGTCAGGGCTAAAGTAAGCACTGACCAAAGGTGTACATGATAGTGATGCTATGTTAACTGTCTAGTTATAGCAGACACACACAGCTACACAACATCTACTGTTAGAGAGAAGCTGCACTTCTGTTATTTTAACATGCGATCCAGTGGCTCCCAACCCGCTGGACTGTGACCTTATTATCATCATCGTCATGCGAATGCCTTGGGTTATATGCTGGGCCACTAAAGACTGAGTGTGTTTTCCCTGTTTTATGGAACTTTAGTCAGCTGAATAAATCAAATGAGCCTGATGACAGAAGGAGACTGGAAACCACGGCCCAAACACACCAGCTCCTGTGAGTCCCTGCAGCACATGTTACTCACCACCACGTGGAATGGGCTGTCGGGAATGTGCTCCCCTCCAAACCGGATGGTGATGATGTATTTCCCGGGCTCCGGAGCCGTGTAGTAAATATCAAAGGTTCCATCAGTGTTCTCCACCACGTCCACATCCAGCTCCGCCCCATCAGGAGTCGACACCTTACAAGTGACTTTACCTTTCCCAGCAGCCTTTGCATCAACTGTGATCACCGTCTCCTCTCCAATCTGGATGGTTGGGCCAATGCCTGATCCTGCCAAGATGGAGGACGGAACAGGACATGTCTCTACTACTGACTGCCAGAGTGAAAATGTGTCACTGAAGTGATTCATATTAAAAAAGCACATGTAATCAGATGTTTACTGTAACAGGCTGATTTGTTAGGGATTTTGGAGGTAGAGAGTAAAGAGTGTCAAGTTTACTCACCCAGGCCGTGTCCTCCGATTGACACTGTAGGACAGCAATAACAACAGGGTCAGTTACCTGGGACATATTCAGGTGATGAAATCTGACTGGCTGACAGAGCTGGGGTGGGCGGAGCTCTACCTGTGACCAGACACTTGCTGGCATCTCCGGTGGGGAGGGCGTGGATACGGTACGGCGAGTAGGGGATCTCGTCTCCTCCGTATTTGATGGTGATGGTGTAACGTCCTGTCATGTCAGGGACATAGGACACAGTGTATGTCCCATCTCTGTTGTCTCGGATGTTTGCCTTCTTCGGTTTCCCCTCCGGATCCTGGAGACATACCCACAGGATGTTCTCGGTGTACTGGGTTTGTGCATTGATATAAAAACTACTGTGAGGTGAAGTACTGGCCCTCAGTGGTCTCCTACCATCTGCCATTTTAAGGCTCATGAGTTCTTATGATGCTCATGTTTATCCTCTTATCACTATTTAAGTCTGGACACCAGCACTCAGAAGGACTTTCATAATGGACCTGGACACAAGCATCACACCCACAGAAGGACCATGTTGCTCTGTAGCTGCTGGAAGTGCACATCAGAACTAATTGATATGTCAGTGCATGTTGAGCTGCCTCCTGTGCTAAAACAATACATTTATGCATGTTTAACTATTACACTGTGACATGGGTTTGTGTAGGCTAACAGAGGTATCTGGCTTTTTGTACATAGCCTAGTAATGTGTGTTGCACCCACTGCAGCATTCGCACCGTTCATTCGACTGCACTGAGGGATCATCTAAAAAAAAAACAAATGACCATTTGGTTTGGACATTAGGGTGCATGGTGTGGCATGCAGGATGCTCTGCTTGGGGCCCACAGCATCAAGCACTGAAACCTGACAACCTCTGGCTTCAACTGGAGACTGGACTCGACAGCTGCTGCTGGTTTGAGACCACTGGTGTTCACAGTACTCACATGTATTGTCATCACACAGGAGCTAAGTCTATTCACTGCAGCAGAGGAGGGGAGCAGGGATGGACGGAGGCAGCTTCACGAAGCACTCTGGTTAGTGGAGAACTGAAAAGCCACATCACTAGACAAACTGGATGGAGGTCAGTCCACAGAGAGACTACAGGGGGGAGGGGGTGGGGGCTGGGGAGG